GGGGTGCCGGGCTCCTGCCGCCTCCCGCCCTCTGCCGGGCTCCCTTGTGGGGCGGGCAGAGAGGCCGGCCCGGGCCCTGCGCCTTCTCCTCTCCATCTCTCCTCCTTAGGGAAAGGCGAAGATTAAATTAATAAAGGCAATTTCAGGCTTTTTTGCTGTTGTTGTTGTTGTCTTTGCCCTCGTTCTTTAAGCCAGCGAGCGACTGCGCGTTAAGGTTGATGGATGAGCTGGAAAAGCGCGACCTCATGGCTTATAAATAACATTTCTCAACTCCAGGCACGTTGTTTGGGCCACGCTTTGCGGTGATACCCTGCAGAGGTGATCTGAATTGCTTTTCCCGGTCTCAGTGATCGATAATGGTTGCATTAACAGTTGGAAAAATAGTCCCTGTATGAAACCAGATCTTCAGTCCCTAGGATCATACAACATCAAACTCTCTTGTTTCTAAACTGTTTGGAGGGGGGGTTTAGTTTTGATTTTGGTTAGAGGTGTGTTTTGGATAACTACACGTAATTTTTTCTCCCTGGTTAGCACACCCTCTCCAGATCACGAAACAAGCTCAGAAAAATTCCTCCACTGTTCCTGTGGACATGGGAAATGTCGCTTGGTTCTCTTGCAAATTTAAATCACGAGTTTCCCCAAGTAAATCCAGCTCCGTGACTCAGGTTTTCAAATGCTGAAAGGGAAACAGGCTTGAAACCTGTAACCGAATGAGATTGTGAGGCTAATTGGAGGCCTTAATTGGAAAAGCTCTCTGAGCATCACAGCTGCTCAGAAACTGCTCAAAGCATTTTTGCTGTCTTCTGAATCTACCCCAGGCTACATGATTTTTGTCTTGGCATGTGTCTGCCTGGAGTGAAAAAATAATGTATTATTCATTGAATCCTGAATGGGAACATCTCTTTTTACAAGAGATGTGATATTTTAATAAGTCAGGTAAAGTTTAGGTCAAACACTGATGAGTGTACTGTTTATTGTAAATATTTATAAGGTGGTCACAGTAATGCTGGTTTTATTTATATATTCCAATTCTGTTTCACAAATAGTAGAACATGTTTGTGATATTTATACCATTAATGTATTTTGTGAAGATCAGTTAAGTGTTGCATAGGACCCAGGACTATAGAATACACATGTGCTCCAGATAGGTTTGTTTAATGTGAAGAACATAGCGAAGTCTGTGAACTGACAGATCATTTTATTGCTGAGAAAAGGACAGTCATACTTAATAGCAGCACCAGTGCTGATATTGATGTTGCTTACAGACTGCAGTTAAAAAATTGTCTCACTAATGAAGTTTTCAAGGGTTTGTTTAAAATAGAAGATGTATGCCTTCCTAAAATCTGTCTTAGTGCAGTCAAGCACCAAGACCTTGGCAAGAGTCTGAGCAGTTCTTTGTGTTACTGTACAAAATTCTCAATGCATAAGGTGTCTGCTACCTGTTGGTTAATAAAACACAGTAGGAATTAGTCCATTTTCAAGCATCATGCAGATGGTGGACTTTTTAAACAAACGAGTTGAACTCCGTGGTACTAGCAGCCCCCAGTTCCTGCAGTGTGATGTCGGAAACATGAGGAAATTGATCAACAGAAAAACGTACTTGGTTTTTCTTTTTTTTTTTTTGATGGGGGAGGAGGGTGTTGAGTGATGTTTGCTGAATTTTATTGTGCTTTCCAAACATGCGACACTATGTGCTGGTTTAAATTTCTGCCAATTAATGATTCTCTAGATTAATCCTATGTTATCTTGTTCCCCTGGGTTTTATTGGCTATGCTCTCATGTTTTCTCTGTCACTGCAACTCAAAACTTGTGAGAATGTTCTGCCTCCAGAAGAACCTGTGGGATATGTGCAATTAAGGATTTATGGTGGAGTGGTTTCTCCACACCCTTTATTATGTGTGATCAGATTACATAGTCCCTTTCTAGCTTTAAAACCCTTCTAATTAAATTTCAGACTTAGCTGATACTAAACATAACATAAAATCTTTCATAAGGATCCATCTCACCTGATGGTGGCCAGAAATGAATCCGTAGGAAACGGCATCTGGAAGAAGGGTGCAGCGAACCTTCTGCAAAACACTCTGCTAGACTCTTGAGAAGCATCCTGGAGACAACTTGGTCTAATGGTGGCATAGTGGGATTTTTTGTGTTTGTCCAGTTGCTTTTGTGACCTGCGTGACCTGCAGGAGTTACAACAGAATCACAGAATGGCCTAAGCTGGAAGGGACGTTAGAGATCATTTAATCCAACCTCCCTGTTGTAGGCAGGGACACCTCTCAACTAGATCAGGCAACACATGGGGACCGAACGGGAATCGAACCCACGACCTGCAATTCCCAACTACTTGTTACTCTCATAACAAGTCTGCATACAAAAGTGTGCCTTTCTCCCTTGTCATAACTACAGAGTACTTACACTTCTGTTAGTTGCTCTTCTAGTTTTTTCTCTGATCGTTTTTATTTTCCTGCTTCACAAAGGTTTTCCTGTGGATGAAAAGGAAGTAAGAGCTCATTCGGAGCGCAGAAGCCAGTTTTGATGGATGTGCTGATGTTGTGACTACGCAACCTTACGCAGCAAATGTGACTAATGCACATTTTTTTTTGTCTGCTCCTTTAAGCAAAGCAAATCGGCTGTGAGATTGAAGGAGGACATGAAAAAGATAGCAGCACTTCCACTGAACAAACAGAGGGACACAACCTGTCCAAAGGTGTTTGGTGTGAGTCTTCTGGAGCTCCAGCAGCAGGGACTGAGCAAGAACGGCATCCCAATAGTTGTGTGGAACATAGTCGAGTACCTCACCCAGCATGGTAAGCTTAACAGAGTCACTTTTGCTCGTTAGCACTCTTTATGTAAGACTCTTCAAAGGGAAGGATCTGTCTTGTTTGTGGTACAGGAGGCTAAATAAGGTTGTGTGGTACTAACCACAGACAGAGAATATTACTGTATGTGGTTTACATCTTTTTTTTTCTTTTGCCTTGATGCTGAGCTTTCTTTTTAATAGGTTGGTTGTAAAGGTAAACTACGGTGTTATGAAGAAGCACATTCTCATAAACAAACTGTTCTGTTTATAAATGGAATGTATTTTGTTTGTGAAAGTTTGTGGCATTTTATTATTGTCAAACATGTCTTTAACACTTTCTGACAGTGATAAGACAAAAGTGTCTGTATAGAAATGTTCATATGCACACACATACTCCATCGGAGAACATTACTGAATAGGAATACATGTTCTTAGGGGTTTTCAGATAGATTCCAGTTATTATTAATCCCCTCAAGGAAGCAAGTGTCCAATTCATAGCTTCTCGTTTCATTCATTTAATAGGATTTTAGTTCTTGTTTTTGAAATACATCTCTTTGCAGAAATCTAGAGCACCACTGATGCACAGATATATTGTTCAGCAATGGAAAAGATTTTGTGGAGGTAATTTCACCTCACAAGAAGCTGCCTCTGTTTTTACCCTAAGTTTTTTCTTTAGGTGCTCGGTAATGATAATCCAATTGCAGAGCTAAACAAGCCAAGTCCTCTCTCTCAATTCAAGGAGGGTCTGGTTGAAGCAGTGAAGGTTGAGGGCAGCTTTGTCTGCAGTGACCATGAGATGCTGGAGCTCAGGATCTTGTGCAATGGGAACAGAATACCAAGCAGGATCACAACCCTGGACTTCAGCAGGGCCAACTTTGGCCTTTTCAAGCTACTGCTAGGGGAAACCCCATGGAACAGGGAACTAGAAGGTAAAGGGGCCCAAGAGAGTTGGTCAGTTTTCAAGGACCACTTCTTCCAAGCTCAAGATCAGTGCATCCCAAAGGGTAGGAAATCAAGAAAGAGAACCAGGAGACCCGCATGGTTAAACAGGGAGCTGCTGGGCAAACTCAAGTGGAAGAAGAGAGTCTATAGATCATGGAAGGAGGGGCTGGGCACTTGGGTGGAATATAAGACTGTGGTCAGAGGATGCAGGGAGGCAACTAGGAAAGCTGCGGCCTCCTGGGACTTAAACCTTGCAAGGGAGGTCAAGGACAACGGAAAGGGCTTCTTCAAATGCATTGCTGGCAAGACTAACACTAGAGGCAGTGTAGGCCCTCTTGTGAATGAGGTGGATGCCCTGGAGACAGAGGATAAAGAGGAGGGCGGTTACAGAGAAGGCAGTTACTGAATGGCTTCTTTTCCTCTCTCTGTACTGCTGGAGACTGTGCTCAGGAGCCCCAGAGCCCTGAGGCCCCAGGGGAAGTCAGGATAAAGAAGGAGTTTGCCTTGGTTGGTGGGGACTGGGTTAGGGATCAGTTAGGCAATCTGAACATCAATGACAGGGGAGTTGGACTAGATGATCTTTCAAGGTCCCTTCAACCCCTAACATGCTGTGATTCTGTGATACTCTGCAGCAAGATTAGCTAGGCTTCCGAATGCCAAGGTGATTATCCAGCCCTAGTAAAGATACAGTCCGTTCTCTGTCTCAAAAGTGCAAGAAGAGTCTCAAGAAGTTCTTGAAATGAGTGTCCTGTGCTTGCCTAAGGTTTGTATTGTGAATTAATAATGAATTTAATGTGAAGACATTTTTAATAGAGGCCCAGGTATGAATTCAAACTATTTGGAGGCAGTGTTCTGTGAATCATGGTTACTGTTTGTTCAGTGTCTTTGTACTACTCCTGTTCTCCAAAGATGTTTTAGTAGACATTGTAGGGCTTTTTAAAGCTAGACCACTTAATAATCTCTCTGCTACCTCCTGACGAACTGACTACCCATTGCAAAAGCTAAGCTGACTTTTGGGCAGCTACATATTTGAACTAAGTTAACATTAAGAGAGAGGGGGTTGTTCAGCCTGGAGAAGAGAAGGCTCAGGGGAGACCTTATAGCAGCCTGCCAGTACCTGAAGGGGGCTACAGGAAAGCTGGGCAGGGACTACTTACAACGGCTCGTAGTAAAAGGATGAGGGCTTAAACTCAAAAAAGGAAGATTTTAGATTAGACATTAGGAAAAAATTCTTTACTGTGAGGGTGCTGAAACACTGGAACAGGTTGCCCACAGAGATTGTGGAAGCCCCCTCCCTGGAAGTGTTCAAGGCCAGGCTGGATGAGGCTTGGAGGAGCCTGGTCTAGCAGGAGGTGTCCCTGCCCATGGCAGGGGGTTGGAACTGGATGATCTTTAAGGTCCCTTCCAACTCAAACCATTCTGTGATTCTATGATCAGGCTATTTTCAAATTTAGAGGTGAAGCCAGCTGAATTTAGTGGTACCTGATTACTGTTACCAGCATGTTGTAGTCTCTGTTTATTTCCATAAACAATTAAGGAAGAGGAAAGGAATTTTTATCTGTGTGTGTTCTGTGATGTTTATTCACTTAGTACTGCAGAAATGAAAATCATTACTGAGATGTGTTTTCTGCTGTCCCCAAGATGGCAGTACAGCATGCTATGTGAGAATACAGGAATTGTGTATATTGGAACACAAGCTCTGTAAGCAGTAGCTTTCATTGGTCAAGTAAAATGCTTGAGTGCCTGTTCATTTTTTTCCCCCTTACTAGATCAATTTGTCTTCTGATCCAATAAAAGAGATTATTTCTTTCTACAAACTATTGCATCAGTATTAATTTCTTAGACTGGAAGTGTTCCGTCAGACTGCTGTTTTGTGATGTCTACTTTGAACTGCTGAAAACCATATATATTTTAATCCTTTTGGTGTTATGCTTCTGTAGAATAAGCAGGTCTATAGACATAGTATTAGAAAAATATAGATTTTCATGGTGAAAATGTAGAGGAAAAACTAATTTACCAGATTCATTTTTCAGGCACTTTACTGAATTTTTAAAATCTTAACATACGCCTAGAAAGTAATGTTTGATACAGTATGATTCATCTGGCTTCCTCCATGGAAACATCCTTCTTTCTGCATCTCCTTCACCAGATGTGGGGCGTCTGGCCTGAAGTAATGGATACCTCTAATTTTTGGTTGTGAAATACTTCGGGCTTTGTGCTGTCCAAAATATACATTTGCTCACTGAGATTTTCTACTGTTGTAAAGTTGTGCTCCTTACGGAGTTACTGCTGCAATCAGTACGTATTCAGATGTTTAAGCTTTGTAATGGTCACAAGTAAGAACCTGTTATCCTAAAATGTGAAGCTGGAAGTAGTCACATGTGTGAATTTGGTAAAATGTGGCTCATGGTCACAGACTAGCAAAAGTGAAAAGCCGAACCATTTTGTAGAATCTGGATCCTTTTCTGTTGAAATATACCAATGCAAAATGCAGTTGTCTCAGTTGATTTCTACCTGGTGTGAGGTTTCAGCAATGCCATTGAGTTTTGTGGGTTCACAAAGAGTATCCCAGCCCTCAGGATCTGGTTGCTTCTATTTTTATTGTAATAATCCAATTACTTGACTAGAGGATGTTTATAGGGCAAAGTAGTATTTATTTTTAAAAGCTGTGTTGTATTATTTGTATCATTTTTATTTACTACAAGTGTATATTCATGCTAGAATATCTGTTTCATCATATCACAGAGGTGTCTTAGTTCAGAGAAATCTCATATGCTGTATATAATTACAGGTATGACGCAGGAAGGCCTCTTCAGGGTGAATGGCAGCATGAAAACGGTAGAACAGTTGCGTCTGCAATACGAGCGTGGAGAAGAGGTGGAACTTGTTAGAGATGGTGATGTGTACTCAGCAGCCAGTCTGTTGAAATTATTTTTGAGAGAGTTGCCAGATGGGATTATCACCTCCGCCTTACATCCCAGGTTCATTCAGCTTTACCAGGGTAAGTGAGAGGTAAAATCTCCATCCTTCAATGCACTTTCTGCAACATTAGTTATACGGTGAGCATTACCAATGCTCTCTGTTTCTTTTGACTTCAGCTTTCACGGGCTCCTAGACTGCTTATGGGTGTGCAATTCTGTTACAAGAGACAGAAAATTTTCTTGTCTGTTTGGTAAAGTCTGGACTATTTATGATTTTCTAATCTAGTTATATTTGCTGAATATAAAATGAAATGATCAGCTGGTTTCTTTGAGCAAGTTGTAAACAATAGCTGCAGTCTCTTCAGGACATAGATTTGCTTCTGTTTGACTAGGGTGATGTCTGGCAACTTCATTTTAGTAGACTCTGAGAAGTTCTTTGCTAAGCAAACGTGGTCTAAGCTTCTGCTTCTCACTAAGTAAAGTGATTGCCCATCAAAAATGAGCCACTGTGCAAATAACAGCAGACATTACCTTTTGTTCCCTGTTATTTCACACAGCCTGAAAGACTTCTTTTCTTCCTTTCTTTTTTTTCTTTTCTCCCCCTTCAAGTGGATCAACCATAAGAAAGAACCTCACTTTTGTTTTGGAAAGTTGAAACTTGCACAACTGTCTGTCCAATGATTTCTCAATCTAATTAATCTGTATCAGGCAGCCGCTGTTGTAGTTACCTGGAAGAGGCGGTGGTTGGCCCTATTCCTGGACCATGTGGTCAGCGGCAGCTCTTTTCTCTTGCGGCAGGCGATTGATCCGTTGTCTTGCCGTGTTTCCTAAGAAGCTGCTGAGTTCGTGGGTAAATGTTACTTTACAGGAAAGCAGGCAAACGTGGTGCATGATGCCAAGGAGGAACGCACGTTCTGACGCGCATCCCTGATGGAAGATGGTTCAGAGCTCTCACACTCTTGCCCTGAGGTGTCCCTTCAGTTTTGCTTGCCCACAGTGGAGATGAAGTTTAGCTGTTGCCCAGAGGAGGCAAAACACGACCATGTCTTTCCTTTTTTGAGGCTGTACAGACAGTTGAAGGTATACTGGAGAAGGGCTCTGTGCCATCCCTTGAGTGCAGGCATTTCAGCTATAATCAGGTTGTATGTGGGCTGCATAAAATACCTTCCTCATTCAATAATGTTGTCTGGGGCCCAAGGATAGGGTTCAGGAAGTGTTGTGTAGGAAGGTGCTGTTAGTTTAGAAAGTCCCTTTTTTCTGGTCATCACTGTGCTTTCTTTTGTGGGTTTTTTTTTTGGTTTTTTTTTTTTAACATTTTACCAGGTCTGACTCATGAGCTAGATTTAATTATGTTCTTTCTTATTAATCACTGTTTAAGTGGAAATTTTAAGTCGCACCTTTGCTGTTCTGCGTCCCTGTCCCCACAAAGGACATATTGGTGTATTCCACCAAGAACTGCAGATGTGCTTTGTGCTGCTTGTGGAAAGTTTAATTTGTTCCTGCTTCCCACAGGGAATGTGAAATCTTTCCCAGTACTTTGTATGAAAATGAGGCAGATATTCTTACTTAGCGGATTTACCCACAAAGCTTTCTTGTTTCAAAAAAAAGTTGCTGATGTAACTTAGGAACCCAGTTCTGCAAAAGTCAGCCCAACTATGAGGTGTCTTCCTAGCCAAGTTTGCCTATATTTCGCAATAAGCTCCAGTTATAGTCCCATTATGCTTTTGAGTAGTAAAAAAAAAATCTATTTGAAAAATTCCTGATCGGCTATTATGGCAAGGGGAAGGCTTTTGTAAAGTTTTAAGAACACTGAGGCCTTTTTTCATGCCCTAGAAAATACAGCATAAATGACTTACCATGAAAGGCACTGATGACTTTCATTGGGTTCAGATCAGTTTAAGTGGTAGCTGGACCTTTGTTTACAGTTAAATGATCAACCAGCTGTGCAGGATTGGAGGAGTTATCTGTTCACTTATCAAACTATGTACAAGGGTATTCATTGCAAAATGGTACCAAGAGAGTGCATGCCTGGATGTTCTTTCTGTAAACTGTGAAGAAAGTAGGTCAAGCTGTTTCTGAGCTGACAGGTTATTAAAAAATAACTTTCAATCTGGAGCCACTTCACTGCCTGTCTACAGTGAAGACAATTATAAGCTCTCTTACAACTTCTGTATTCCCTCCTGTTGAAGGTTTGCAGGGGAAATGTTTTTTTAGGATTATGTTAGGGTTCCTTTGGAGTATTTTCAGGGACTGGTATCAGCATTTTTTTAAGCCAGCTGAGATCTTGGCCTGAGAATAACATGCAATTACTTCCTATAAGAATTGTTAGGGAGTGAGTCCTCCTCTAGTTTAAAATAGCTGAGCTGAAAAAAAAGTTTCACCTGTAGCCATAAGCGTGTACAGTCTTTGTTACCAAACCAAAAAGTCAGTGATCTTCCCTTCCATGAAAAAGAGAGAGAACGTGACCCGCTGGCAGTTCAGGAAGTCTGCACAGCTGGTTTGGCAGCTGTCTGCAGCCTGTGCAGCGCAGTGTGGAACTGACCTCTGCACTCTGCCCCCAAATCCTCATGCATTGCTCTTTATATAAATATTCAGCGTCATGTCAAGACAATGCAGTCCCAGAAAACATCACATAGCGTGTCCTAAAGGCTGTTTGGCCTTTCCTGATGTTCTTTCTCTGTTCTTGGAGAAAGGCAGTGGCAGTGGGAGCTGAGAGGGGCCTTGCTCTGTGAACGATGTTGATCTGAGATGTGTGCAGCAAGTGCAGGCCAGGGACATGCTGATAGTCATCTCTATGTTGGCCAGTCACCTCAGAGCGCCTGACAAATACGAAGGCTGCCCCTTGCAGGGAGTCCTGGGGTAAAAAATGTCCAGCACAATCTCTCTTGTGTCTGAGGCTTTGCCTCAGAGCAGAGCTGTGCCTGCCTGTGCAAAAGAGTGAAAAGTTTCTTTCAAAAACCTCAGCTGGAAGAAATCAGCACTTCCATACCGCAATCCCTGCTTGAGCTTGTTTATTCCTTCTGACTTTTCATTCCTTATCTTTTGTATCACGATCACTGACTCTTAAGACATTTGTACATACTAGGAACTGTATGCACAGCTCTTATACCCTTTCACTTCAGCAGGACAAGTTGCTGTTGTAGTTTTCCTTTTTAGCATACAGAAAGCTTCTCACTTATGTGAATTGCTTTCTTGTCGTTGTTGCATTCCCTCCTCCAGCAGGGGTGCAGTGTAATGTGGGCTCCTGTCTTCCTTTGGTACTCAGTCTAATTAAGTATAGTACTGTTTCATCACTGGCTTCCTGACGTTGCTCCATTTTAGAGACTATATTTTTCAGTGGGCAGCACCTAGATGCAAGTTCTGTCCCCTACCTCCTCCTGCTCACAACCTGCCATGGCTGTCAGAGTTTTGCCTGGTGCCCCTGAACAGCCCTGCTAGTTTCAAGGAGAGGGATGGGAGGTGGTAGAAAGGGAAGGCGCAGCTCCCTTCTGGCTCAACAGGTCAATTTAGGGAATGCTTAGTAGCCAGCAGCTGTTTAACTTACATGAAGAAGCTGAACCAAAAATATAGGTTGTGTTTGTGGATTTTAGAGGTTAAATTTCAACCTGACCAGTAACAGTGAAAATGAATAGTTTTCATTTTTTTTGGCCTCTGGGACAGAATCGTGTCTGAAGCAGCTTGCTTCTTGACAGAGAGAGTCTGGAGTCCCACTTGCCATAGGTTGTGGAGGTGGAAAGAAGTGCTTTGGTTCTCCCAACAGCCTGGTGGACACAGTGGTACTGCAACGTGCAACCTATTGCCCGTGTGCCAAAGATTAACTTCCACAGGGCACGTTGATAGCTACAGACAGATGCAAGCTCCGCTGTTTGCTCTCCAAGCTGGTGGTATGCAAGGCAGCTGAAAGCTATGCAGACGTGGTAGCGTGACACTAAGCCGTAGACTGTTCCTTGCCTCGTAGCGGAGATAACAAGCTAGAGCACGGCACTGTGCTGATACGGTTTCAGTGCTTCCAGGCTGGAGTTGTTTGGGGTCAGACCATTTGAGACAGGAACAAGGCAATGAGGTGCACCTGTCTGCAGGCCTCCATACCTTTGGCGATGTTCAGGCAGCGTGCTCTGCAGGGAAAAGGAGTAGCACGAAGAGGGATGGACTGGGAAATTAGATCGTGCCTGTAGCGTGTCAAAGAAACTCAATATGTTCAGAAATAGGATGAACCATTGGAAAATATGTCCCTCTTGTTATGATCTGTGGGTGTATACCGAAATCATATAAGACTGAAAACACCCTTGCAAATGCGTCTGTGCCTCCTACACTGTTGAGGCTCCTGTTTCTAGTTAATTAACATTTTTAGACATACTGCCTGTCCCTTTCAGTTGTCTTCTTGATTTGTCCCTCAATAGCGAGTCCCTAGCTCCATTCTGAGGTGCCACACTGCCCTTGCTGGCTTCCTTGGCCCTCTACGCATGTCATGTTGTGTTCTGTGTGCTCTGGCTGCTGAGCCTAGATGTGGCCTGAGTCTGCTGATTTTGTTCCCTTCCTCAGCCCAGACACCACCATCTCATCCCTGGTTTCAAGCCCTTTCTGGCTCCTCATCTACCTGGGCTTCTCTCACAGACCTCTGCTGGGGTGCTGTCTGCTTCACACAGCTTCTGGCAGACTCCCAAAATAGAACGAATGCCTTTGAGAGCACCTTCCCATTAACCTTCATTTTCCTTTTACTCCTTTCTCCTTTGCTCCGCTGTATTGGGCAGGATTTTCAAAAGAGCTTCGTGTGCTATGCTTGAAAAATCACCAGTATGTTGCTAGCTGGGCATATCTGAAAATATGTCTTGAATACAGGTTCCTGAGTTGCCTTTAAAAATCTGGCACTCTCCTGGTCCATTATTGACAAGCTCATTTGTCTCGTCTCAGAATGCTGCAAAGACTGAAGCATATGCTTAGTTTCGTGCTACCTTATTTAATCTGACTGAACGAGAAAGACCGTGCTTGGTAGTCTTGTCTTCTGCAGGACGTCTTGTACTTCACAAAATTAGGCACATACATGAGCTTAGGGCTTTGGTACACTTGATGCTTGTCTGCGTGGCGGCATGAACAGCTCCGGCTCTCTGATGTTTCTCTGATGGTCAGTGGCAGCTGAATAAACCTTAGCGATTGACTGGGAGGCGAATTGAAAAATTATCTAGTAGGTGGACAAAAGGAGGAATGCTCTAAGCAATTGTTTGTCGTGACTCAAGACTAATTTTGATCTCTTAACAAGTTAAGTACTGTGGTCGTGGATAGCAGAGGTACACTTGTCCTGAAAAAGGTGCGAAGCATACTCTGTATGTATGCCACTCTAAATTCACCACAAATTGTAATAGTAACTTTTAAAAATAAAGCTGAAATCCATGAAATAAGTATCAGCACCAGGAGAATTAACAAATTAGTTCTGATTTTTTGAATATATTGGGAGAAAGGCTTGAGTTCCTTCCCTTGGCTTTTCACTGGAAAAGGAGAGAGGAAAGCCGTATTTTCTTTCTCTCATTTCACAAAGACCCGGAATTTCATGGCTCAGTAAATGGGGTTTGCTGCCTCATGTTGTTTGGTGTCTCTGTGTCCTTCAATTAGGTTAATTTCTCAAGATCTTATGATCTGATACCTGTCTCTGTTCTTGAAAGTACAGAAGTGAACAAAGGTTTGGCTGTGCCCAGCGATAATCATCTCTGATGTTGATCTGCACCACATAATATATCATGGTTAATGACCAGGGACATCCTACCCACCAAATACACCTGATGCCGAGAGGCCAATAGCTTTGTTTGCTGTCAGAGTGCAAACCTGTGTTGAGAATGTTTTGTGGCAGTTATTAGCATCTTTCTCGTTTGGAAGGGATGGAAAAACCTTCAGTAAGTGGAAAAGTACCCGTCAATCTGAAGCCCCAGTGGGAGGCTCAGAGAGGCAATTAGTTCTCAAGGGCATTCCCTAATTAGGTGATGGGGTGGTGGTGGTGGTGGAAGAGGTGTGTTTTTTCCAAGAGGTGGCTTTATCTTTCCTTACCATAACTGCAAGCAATTTATAGTAGAAAACACTACGTGCTAGTTGTTTTGTTATCTAAAGAGATGTTAGGAGGTGAATTTTAATGTTCTGGCTACGTGGAAGTTAGCTGTGTTTTGTTTTTCTTTAAGCTCCGTGAAAAGATAATTAGTAATCCAGTCAGAGACTGTCCAGTCCACTTTGGTCAGTGCAAATACAAATCCAATTAAATTCCTTATTGTTATTCAATTTAATACAGCCTTCAGAAGTACCTTGGTATTTTACTGCTTAAAAGAAATAATAAATAGGATTTCTTACTGTTATCAAGCTGATTCATAGTAACAAAGTTGTGATTGTTTTTGTTCTGTACAGCTCTAAACCATTTTGAAAGAAATAAGTGCAACAAATAAGCAAATAAGTTTTTGCTGATCTAATTCATGCGCATTTGATATTTGACTTTCCTGAAGGAGCTAATTTCTTAGCTATGGAAGAAAAGGATATAATTAATCAGTTGTTTGAAACATTTGGTCCTCTTATTTGATTGACATTTTAAACTTTGGCCTGCTGTCATGAGAGAATTCGTATTAAGTCTGTGGTACCAGAAGAGATACATAAAAATGAATTCTCCATGCATATAAAACTTAAATAGGCTTCTCGCACGATGTACTATATTATGTGTGCTGTATAAGGCAGGAAATCCTGAAAATTCCAACTGTATGAAGTGGCAAATGCGTACATACAAATCCCATTAGCTTCCGAAAGTGTGTTTGGGATAAACTCTGTTTATTAGCCACAGAAATGTCTGGTTGTAAAAAAAAAAAAAATCATATTGCAACTTAATGGTTGAGTCACTTTCAGATATTTTTATATAGACTGCTAATTTACACAGCTAACCACTTTCCAAAGCACTCTACTCTTGGAATACTGTGCAGTCCAGCCCTGGGATATTTCTAGGGAATGAGAAGCAAAAAAGAAGACAAAACTTTTGAAGTGTTTGTACCTGCCCTACACTGTGCTCAAATCCGTTCCTTTGGTTTTCCTTTGTTCGTTGCAAAAATGTTGGAGAAATGTAAAATGTTCTTTGCTCCTGCAACGCAAGGCACCGCATGTTTCCCTGCCAGTCTTCTCTGTGTGCTGGCAGCGAGGTGTGTAGCTGAGGCAGCAACTCGTTGCTGAAGTATTTCGGATACAGCCCGTTTTATTTTATCTCTTTGGCTGAAAATGAGTCTTAAAGACTGAGCACAGTTTGGTTTTGATTGAATGCTGGGTGAATCTCCTTGCTAAGGATGATATGGTGCAGGGGAAGCTGACGGAGCAGCTCATCCTGCGGTACATGCAAGATAACCAGATGATCAGGCCTCATCAGCACGGGTTTATGAAAGGCAGGTCCTGCATGACTGAGAACATCCAGAAGCAGCATGGAAGCAGGAGATCTGGTAGAGCTGGAGTTAAGGAAGGTATAACTATGCACCAGGTGGGAGTAAACTTGCTCCAATGCTATGACCGCTGCTGATACTGCCCAGAAAAACATTTACAACATAAAGGTGACCATGAAACAGTGCCAGTCGTGGCCAAGGTGATCCTCAGGAGAAAGCTGCAGGTTCTCAGAGGAAAGCTGGAGGCTTTAGAGGATTCTGTGTCTGAACAGAAATAGGACTGAATTTTAGATCCCACTGCTTTCTCACCCATGTAAGTAAATTGGCAGCAATGTAGAAAACCGTATACGTGTGTTTTTTCTTCTCTTGTTTTTTCCTAGACACTAGAAACGACATGCAGAAGGAAAGCAACTTGAAAGAGCTCCTTAAAGAACTGCCTGATGCTCATTACTGCCTTCTGAAGTACCTGTGCCAGTTCCTGATAAAGGTTGCTGAGCATCATGTAGAGAACAGGATGAACCTTTGCAATCTTGCCACTGTATTTGGACCAAACTGCTTTCAGTAAGTTGGGATTTTCACTTTTCCCCATATGTTGACGGAAAGTGTAATGGAGCAGATGGCCAGAGACATAGCTCAGAATGCTAATTTGCCAGGGTGATCACATGGAGGCAATGACTGGGCTTTCTGATAAATTGTAGTGCTAAAGCTATTGTTTGAACGGCATAGGGATTGAGTTTTTCTCCTGTCTCGTCTTGCTGTTTCGGTAGACAGTTTGTCAGTTTTCTATTGCTGTATTGACAGCAGAGCAGGGGTGTAACAATGAGATGCCTTCAGATTGTGTAAGTGCAAGGCAACTTGTGCTCATACAGCTTTCTTCCTTTGCTATCAAATAAAGACGGATGCTTCTCTGCAGAAGGCTTTGAGAAAGGATACCTGCAGGAAAAGAACTTCTATGCAGCATCCAGGTGCTGATTCTAGAGATGGGTACTGCATGCTCTTAACAGATTAGACTTTGTGGTCTGGTGTCTGTCCTCAGGATGCTAGTGATTCTGGGCTTTTTATCCTTCTAGTACATTCAGAAACTGCTCGGGAGGTTATAGGCTTCCACTGGTCTCTTGAGACTTGTCTACTGGATTCGCTAGTTTTACTAGTTTCTTTCACTGGGCCCAGTTCCTTGGTGTTTGTGATGAAGACAACATGTTGTATATGGTAGTGGAGCTTGCAGCAGTAGCGAGAACAGTTATTTCCAGGTGCAAGCATAAATACAGGCTGGGTGACAAGTGGATTGAGAGCAGCCCTGCAGAGAAGAACTTGTGGGTGTTGGTTGATGAGATGCTCAACGTGAGCTGACAATGTGCGCTGGCAGCACAAAAAAACCAACTGTATCCTGGGCTGCGTCAAAAGAAATGTGGCCAGTAGGTCAATGGAAGTGATTCTCCCTCTCTACACTTGCTCTCATGAGACCTCACCTGCCAGGCATAGACCTGTTGGAGTGTGTCCAGAAGAGGGACCCTCTCTACACTTGCTCTCATGAGACCTCACTTGCCAGGCATAGACCTGTTGGAGCATGTCCAGAAGAGGGGCACAAAGATGATCAGGAAGCTGGAGCACCTCCCTCGTGAGGACAGGCTAAGAGAGTTGAGATTGTTCAAAATGGAGAAGAGAAGGTTCTGGGGAGACCTTATAGTGACTTTCCAGTATCTGAAGGGGGCCTACAGGAAAGCTGGGGAGGGGCTGCTTACAAGGGCATGTAGCGATAGGATGAGGGGCAGTGGGTTTAAACTAGAGCAGTGTAGATTTAGATTAGACATTAGGGAGAAGTTCTTTACTATGAGGGTAGTGAGTCACTAGAACAGGTTGCCCAGAGAGGTTGTGGATGCTCCGGACCTGGAAGTGTTCAAGACCAGGCTGGATGAGGCTTTGAGCAACGTGGCCTAGCAGGAGATGTCCCTGCCCATGGTACAGGGGTTGGAACTAGGTGATCTTTAAGGTCCTTTCCAACCTAAACCATTCTATGACAAGAACACACTTGAGTGAGAATGTTTCTGTTGGATCACTGGTGTGACGCAGTGCACCATTACCACCTTCACTCCGGTCTTGTCTGCAATACGCCCACTGAGTTCAGTCATGGAAGTCTTGAAAGATGTCTTATACCAGTGAGAAGAGACAAGTGAGTTTCTTGTAGCAAAAGTCAGATTTCCAGTGATCGGAAACAATACTGAGTTGCCTAAGGATAATTACCTAATGAAGCGATCTCCCTAGGCTTCCTCTGTAGCCAGTGGAAAGAAGTAAACTTCTTTAAAGAGAGAAAACGGAAATTAGGTTCCTTGGAATGTCTTGATTCAGTTCCACATACCTCAGGTAGACACTGCGTGCTGCC